CTGTCGGACAGCTTAGCCTCCCCCTCCCACCCCCCACAATAAAATCCCAATAATAATTCTATGCTTTCATTGCTTTTTATAATTATTCTTATAATTCTTTATTAGCTTCCCCAAAGGAGCGAATCTGCGGGGAAGGCTATTGTTTTTACCTGTGCTCTTTCATGTTGTCTGCGTTGACACTTCCACGGTGGTCATTTGTTTGTTACCACTATAAGTTCGGTCCCGTTTGGTTTCAAACAGAATGCAAGATGGTACTAAGAAGACGGAGCATATTGTTTTTTGTAGGCCCCTATATGCTAATTACACCTGGTAAAAACACGATTTCGTTCGTTGTACCCTCCCACTCCCTCCGGGATCATCGATAATCCCTTGCGACATGAGTGTGGGCGTACTGTACGACTCCTCTCTACACAGGTTTAAAATATAAATGATATCAGATTTTCCATGAGCTCTCAATAAGCATATCTAAGGGTATCTTTCCAAAATTATAATTTTGTTTACACTGTCATAAAGTTTAAAATAATCGTTTAGTGTGCGTTTTCTGGTTCACAATCTTACTGATGATCTCGGCCAGCGATATCGATTTCAGCTGACGTTTGGTCATCCGCACGTTTAGGATGATGAAACGACGAAAAAGACAAGACCGCTTTTGAAATCGGTAAATATACGCTTAATTCCAGTACCACTGCATGACAATATGCCTATCTTATGATATTCATATCTTAATTACAGCTTATGAACATGGCATTTATAAGCAGTGTAAGAAGTTTGATGGCCATGGGCTAATACAAATGAATTGAATTACTTTGATGGCAGGAAGACTCTATATGTTATTCGATACTAGTTCATTGAGTAAGGCAAATTATTAATGATGCGAGATATCGCAAACTTGCTCTTCAACTTTCTACAGCAAATATTCATGAATAATTCATCTTGCTGTAGACACCGGATTCGAAAATGGATAGTCGAATTATCATCATCATCATCGTCGTCGTCATTATCATTATCATTTTCATCATCAAATTACTATTTTGGGAATTATTATTTTTATATTTTTGTTTTCTCATAGTATAGGATAAAAGTATAATCTTTTTTCATATTTCTAATCTATCTTGTTCTGTTGATGTAGATACCTGATTTCGAAAATGGATCATCAAATTATCATCATCATCGTCGTCATCATTAACATCATCATCATTAGGCCTATTATCGTTTTCATCATATTCAAACATTAGTAACATGGTTGAATTGCATTTAGAAGGCGTATTTTAAAACTTCTGGATTATTTCAGTGTTCAATACTGTTAAGATTTTGCTTTATAGACCTCTTATAGCTTTCCGGTTTCTGCAATTTGATTGTTTTGTAATTGTAAAATATATATAAATTTTCCTGCTACGTTTCGGAGAAATTCGATAAATAAAAATTGAAATTAAAATAATAGGCCCATACAAACATTATTTACAATTAAACAATATAATTCATGTAATAGATCCAAATACAAACAAAACTTCCAAGTTTACCAACTACACTGCTTAATGAAAACTTATCAAGACTATAATCTGCTACATGGCATTTAAGCTGCGTTTTTCAACCGGATTTACTGAA